CCCCGCGCCCGAGCTGCAAGGCCGTGGTGGGGCGCCCCCCGCCACGTCCCCTCCGTCCCCCTTCCCGATTAACCCCCCGCGACGACGCGTCCGATAACCCCCCCGCCGCCGCCGTCCCCCTCCGTCAGGAGGAGGAGAGGCCGGTGCCGGAGGAGCCCCCGCCGCGGCGCCCCGCGCTCCCGAGGGGCTTTTCCAACGCCCCGGGCGTTCCCGGATCCCAACCTTAATAAAAACTGACATGTCGAGGAGCCATCCCGGTCCCCCCCGCGTCACCCCATGGGACATAGGGCAGGGAGGAAGGGGGCTGAGCACTTGCCAGCTCGTTGCACGGAGCGCGGCCCAGCCCCGGCGGAACCCACGGCGTCTCCCGGGGCCTCTCCGGCTTTTTTTTCCCCTCCCTTGGCCGGCCGGATTATTTGTCTTTCCGGAGAGCTATTCCTGCTAAGGAGCGTTGGCTCCTGCGGGGCGCCCGCAAGGGAAGGGGCCGCAGAGGCTTCGCTCCGGAGGGATCCCGGCCATCCCGCTGGGAAGCAGCCCAGGCCGCTCGGCTTTCCCATTCCCGAGCTTGGCTCGCAGCCCGTCCTAGCACCACTTTAATTAAGTTGGTGGCTCCGAGGTTGATCCGAGGCCGTGGAGCAAAGGAGCCATCGAGGGAACATAGGAAACCCCAGCAGGGCCAGGAAAACAGACCCGCATTTAATTCCAGCACCTGCACACGGCTCCTGGATGGGAATCAGGGATCTTCCCTGCTCTTTTTGCCAGGATGTGGAGCTCAGGCTGTGGCTGATCCAAGGGGTCCTTCCCAGACCCCTTTCCCAGCAAAATTCCCCCTGTCCAGGGCGCACGCGATGATTTTACGCACCCAAAGCAGCCCCCGGGAACGCAGCCGGCACCGGCAGGTGATTCCAAGGGTGATTAACGATCCCCGGAACAGAGAGCCAAACCGCACCGGGAAATCTGCAGCGGCAGAGGAAGAAAAGCAGCTGCCGGGGAAGGGGGGTGATTTATGGCAACTCTTTTATCTCTGCTGTAAAAATAGTGCGATGGGAAACGAGGCCAGCTCCGGCTTTCGCGGGAACGAGGGGCTGGAAAAGCAGCACAGAGGCAAACCGGGAGAGACGCGGTGAAATTCAGGACGGGATGGGACAAGCGAGCCCGGCTCTCACCCCAAGGATGCGGATGGGAATCACCCCCCTCATTCCCAGCTCCTGGGGTTTCGGTCCCCATCCGCGCGCTCCAAGGGCGCTCCAGGAACGCGGCTCCAGGGGCAGGAACGCTGGGATGGGGCCAGCCCTGGGAAGGGAGCGGGAACAGCGCGGCCCCACGATGCTATTTTTAAGCGGCGCCTCCATCCCGCTCGCCCCGAGTGGCACCAAGGGGACAAGGTGCCCGGGGACACGGCGGTCCCTTGGCATCCGCCCAGGATCCCTCGGAATCCCACGGAGCAGGCGCCAGCCCTGCTGCTCTCCCTATATGTTTTATTCTTTACATCCGTGAGAAGATCCCGTGCGGTGCCGATCGCCCCGGCCAGCCCGCACGGGGACAAGGGGGACGGTGACAACGAGCACAGGGGACACTGTGGAGCGGGAAGGGCACCCCGGGGGCCCCACAACCGAGGACCTGTGTCCCCAGCGCCCTCCTGCTGTCCCTGCCCTCCCCAAGGCATCCCAGGGGACCGGAGGGGTTTTTCCCCTGCTCCTTATGGAGGGGACATTTCCCTGTTGTTCCCCCATTCAAGGGCCACATCCACCCAGGGGACACGGGGACCCATCTGAACTCAGGTCACCCATCGGGCTCTACAGCCCGGTGGCTTCAGGGCACCCCCGACCCCAGCGAGGGGACAGGAAGACCGAGGTGTCCCCAGGGACAGCCCGACACAGGCACAGCTCTGAGGTGACACGTGGGGCCAGGACAGGGCCATGTCCCCAGCTGGGGACAGGTGACATGCAAAGAACCGGAGCCTGATCCGGGCTGGGGGGCCCTGGAAGCACCGAGGCGGAGGCTGCTCAGGGCTCCGAGTCCTTTTTCCGTTTCTGGAAGCGTCGGAACTTGCCCTGGATGGCGAGCGCAGCCTTCTCCGTCTCGGGAGCGTTCAGGTCGATGTCGATCTCCTCTTCCTCCTCCACCTTCTTGGAATTCCCGCCTTTGGCTGCAGGAAAACCCAGCTGCCCCGTTACATCCCGGCTGCTGCAGGTGCCCCCACAGCCTCCAAGCTGTCCCCACATTCCCGGGATATGCCCTGCATCCCACCCTCCTCCACAGCGCCAGGCAAGGGCAGGACGGAGCCTCCTCCT